TTGGGGAATGTGGGAATTGGAGAATGTGGGAATTGGGGAAATGTGGGAATTGGTGAATGTGGGAATTGGTGAATGTGGGAATTGGGGAATGTGGGAATTGGGGAATATGGGAATTGGTGAATGTAGGAATTTGGGAATTTGGGAATTGGTGAATGTGGGAATTGGTGAATGTGGGAACTGGGGAATATGGGAATTGAGAAATGTGGGAATTGGTGAATGTGGGAACTGGGGAATATGGGAATTGAGAAATGTGGGAATTGGTGAATGTGGGAACTGGGGAATATGGGAATTGAGAAATGTGGGAATTGGTGAATGTGGGAACTGGGGAATATGGGAATTGAGAAATGTGGGAATTGGTGAATGTGGGAACTGGGGAATGGAATTGGTGAATGTGGGAATTGGTGAATGTGGGAATTGGGGAATGTGGGAACTGGGGAATATGGGAATTGGGAAATGTGGGAATTGGTGAATGTGGGAATTGCGAAATGTGGGAATTGGGGAATTGGGGAATGTGGAAATTAGGGAATGTGGGAATTGGAAAATTGAAAAATGGAAAAATTGAAAAATTGAAAAATTCAGTAAAATGATAAATCTACAAACAGAGCCCCCTTCACAAATAAGAAAAGCATAGAAAATCACATAACACCAACAACGTCTAGCAAATGAAATAACAGAAAAGAACATTCAGAACGTGATATCAAAAAAAGCAAAGTGATAATCTTAATTAACGCTCGTGTACAGACACACTGTACGTACGTCGTAAATTTTAATCATAATGATGCGTACTTTATGAACGCACCGTCAAAAGGAATACACGATGAAACGAAAGAAATAAAAATAAGGCGAAATAACGTGTACCATGCGACGTAGTTGTCACAGCACCGTTATCAATAGTACGGTGCAATCGTACGGGTAATAAATCAGATCCGCTTCGTAGAGGAGCAGCCAACAAGGTTTCTAGTAGAAAAAGAAAGCAACGTCGTCAGTGTCAGACGTGGCGTCGTCTGTCGCGATGGAAAAGTTTCGTGTACGTTCGAAATGAATGATTCCGCGAAACATGTTCTACTGCGCCACTAGAAATTCATGTCTCTAATACACAACGGAACTTCCATTATTAACTGGTTCGTCGTAGTGAAAACGACCATATGTTCTAACTACGAGTGTAACATATTTTAAATATCTGCGATAAGAAGAAAAAGATAAAAATAAAGCTTGTCGACTTTTCGACCTGGACACGTCGAGTTAGAAAATCTTTTCGAAGTCTGCATTGTTCATGTGCAGTACATGGAAAGAGATGCAGAAAGTTTTCGGTAGCAGCATGGAAGTAGCATTTTCGGTAGCATATTTGAAGACGAGTCTAAATTACAGCAAAAAAGAGCAAGATAATATGACGGAGAAACTAATGAAGTTTGATATTTCGAACGCTCGATAATAATGAAAAATGATAGGTATTCGAAACCTTGGTCCACTTGGAAAATGACGCCAAGTAACCATTTCGTTATGGTGCATCTATTGTCAATATGTTCAATATTATTGTACACTACATTGAATGTAATATATAATATTGCATGTATGTACGTGTGTATTCATGACATCACGAATGACCCACACGACATTGAGAGTATTAATTATGTCAGGAACATTTGGTCGGAGAAATTTCAAAGGGATGGAAAATTCCTGGGGAGGATATAAAGATGGAGAGGAGATTATCGGTAAGAGAGAATCGTTGATTTGGGTTAAACGGGAAAGCGTGGTTGTGCTTGCAAGCTTTACGAACAGTTTACGCACACACATGACTATCGGCCGAGTTTAATATAGCCGCGTGTCATGCCGCGTTCTCTTCTTGCATACCGAAAGTGGACCTCGACGACGAGAGCTCCTCCTGCTTTTGCTGCTTCCTCTCTCTGCTACGTGAACGCGTTTATTTTCCCCTTGTCGACTCTTCTGCCGACCTAGACGACTCGTCGACATCGAATTAGAAAATCTTTCCCTGTACATCGCCGTTCATATTCAGTTCATATGGGAGTACACTTGCGAGTAGCATTTTCGGTAGCGACTGCAGCATGGAGACTAGTCTGAGTCTAGACTAAATTACAGCAAAGAATAAATTACAGCAAAAAAGAGCAAGATAATATCACGAGGAAGCTAATGAAGTTTGATATTTCGAACGCTCGGTAATAATGAAAAACGAAAGGTATCGAAACCTTGGTCCACTTGGAAAATGACGCCAAGTAACCATTTCGTTATGGTGCATCTGGAATGGCGGTACTGCAATTTATCTTCGCTCCATAAAATTGGGACGAGTGGATAATAAAATTATTTTCTATCGTGGTCTAATCAGGCACAATCACGGCACAGAAACAAACATCTTAGGTAAATACCGATTCCGAGTGGTAAAATTGAGTTGCAGTAGTCACAGGTGTAGCTTCCGCAGTGATAATCGGCACATTCGGTGTAGCCACATTTCACGTACGAAACACTGCGTTCGCTCTTCTCTTCTTACGACGTTAGCTGTTATCCGTGAAACGAAAGCATCGGCTCGCTTAGGAATATTCGAAATTACATGAATCTTCGGTATTCCGAATTAGCAACGCGGCATTGAAACCTAAAATTTCCTGTCACGCTTTGTATTCTCGACGCGGTTGCAAAATTGTCACGAAACTGTAGAATTAATATGCGGATGAGTAGATTCAATGATTCACTCTGAAGCGTTGACGTGTTTTAATTATGATCGCAACGAATGAATAGTTGCGGGACTCCTGCAAATTGGCATTTCACTCCTCTGTAGGTGAAGTCGGAAATGTCACAATTACGGATCATCCACAAATTTCATTGATTACTTGGAGCTATTATTTACGGTGCTACGAACTGGGTAAGGGTAATAGGTGTTCAGATATTTCGGCGTCCTAATTAACACGTTTCGTGCCACGTGTACCAGCGGTGGTACACTTCATCTTCAGACCACGTGTGCCACTGGTACTCAGACATATTTATTTAATACGCTGAAAATATATGTTTATGACAAATTTAATTCTGTAAAAAATATTTCTACTAAAAGACTGAGGCATTATACAAAATGCAGTATAGAATAAAACACACCTAGCGCATTAAATAATAGTTCAACAAAAAGAATAAGAGGAGATGTAACATTAATCAGCTCCTCCCTAGACAATGATAGATATGAACCATCGTTCGATACATCCTCCATATTGTGATCAAGGAAGCAATTTATAACGAATCAAAACACATGCACGTATACGTTCAAATACGTTTCATTCATGAATGATCGTTTCACTGCTTCGAACAATGAAAACATGGCGGAACATAGATAAAAACGCATTAAAACTGATATCGGACAGTCGATGACATCACTGTCGTAGTGCTTTGTTGTTGTGTCTGAGATTACGGAAACAACTGCGTTTAACATTTTTCTTATTCTTTCTTTTTGCTCATCTTGAAAGCTAGATACGTGTACGTCATTTGCACTGTGGCAATCTAGAATTGTTAGTAATTTTCAAATTATTTATCTGTCAATTGTATTATAATGTATTATTTGTATGAAATGTATTAAACTGAACTCTGATAGAATTATTTATTTAATTTTGTCATTAAATTATTTCAATTAACAAGCTTCAAGAATTATCAGTATTAGTCAGGCAAGATTGTTTTACAATTACAGAAAGAAATATCCCCATTTTTTTATTTGTGTAATTTTATTCTAAAACAGAGAGATTGCAGAAGAATTTTATAAGTAATAAAAATAATAGTTTGTAAGAAGTTTGTAAGAAAAAGTGATGTTATCAGACAATGTTATCGATTATCAGTATCATCAATGCTATAAATATAAGAATATGTTAGTAGCCGAACTAGTCTAATCTTTTCGCTCCAAAATGGCGTCATCAGACCATTAAGCGTAAACGTTCGCTATCACAGTGAAAATGGACGTGCGTAGTAAGACATATCGAAAGTCTGATTATTCCCCTTCCAACGTCTTCCATCGCTGTTAACGTGATATTTAGCACGTTATTTAGAATAAAATAAAAAATTTACATATCTATTTCTGACACGAGTGTAAGATTTTATTTTGTCTCCAAAGTTTGGTTTGTCGTTAAAAATAGATTTTGCACTTGAAAACGTATGAAATTTTTTTAAATGCGCATATACATTTATTAACATTAAGAACCATATTAATATATAACCTTGCTGTTGCATAATTAAAAAAAATATATAAATTTAATTTTTTTAAAGAATTTATTAAAAAATTTAATTTTTTAAAAGAATGTATACCAATACTTTTATTTTAACACCGCGTAAAAGAAATGAAATTTCCTAAAAGGCAAAGCGAAAGTAATTATTGCAATTTCGTTATTATTATCATAATGATCTTGTACTTTATGCAATATGTTACGCGTACACGTAATACGTTATGCACACGATAAAAATATGAAAGTAGACGGAAATTATAATCGATATTCTCAGGAAATATTTTATTTTTATTTGGACACGCAGTATTACAACGAAGGTACCGATATGAAATATGCTAAATAAGGAGAATAATATATATGCTAAATAGCCGGGAAATTGAACAATTTTCTAATCTCTTAACGACGCATCCAATTTAATTTCTAGTCTTGTTTCTGTATCTATATTTCACGAGCATTGACGTTTGTTTGAATATCCATTTATTTGTGAATTATGATATATTATTAGGTAACATATGACAGTTATGAAGTATCATATGTGTATACGTATGTGTATATGTAGAATAATAATAGGTTAATCAAAAATATTCAAGGATATAGAAATTTGTAGATAGGGGAGCTCAGGAATATGATACCTCATATAGGAATTTAGTACTACTATAACAAGCTCCACATATGCTCTTCCACATATGCTGACCTGCGTCAGCCTCCTCATGCGCCACCTCTTTCATCGTTTTAAAAATACGCAAGTGCAAAGGGTAACAAACTAATTAACATCATGAAAGAAAAAGAACTCACATTGATCGAATATCTTAAGCATCGCTTTCTTCAGCTGCATAATCGTGCGCTGAGCGTGGCGAGGCGCCTCGACCAAGTGAGACAATCAGGTTCATAAGACAGCGTGGTCGTCATGTAAGAACCAACCGCTGCTCGTCTCTGGTGCAACTCGTTCCTTCGAGAGCAATCCATCCTCCGGAGACGAAAAACGCGGTTGTCCTTCAAGGACCGAGCGTGCGTCTCGCAGGACGTCGCACGCTCGTCCGCCTGCAATAACACCGGATCGCGATACTTGGCCGCGACTGCATCGTCCTTCTTTCCTCGATACACTTTCTCTATCGGTCACCGTTACCCTCCTTCTTCTTCTGCTCAGAGCATCTGAACGGACCAGTAAACGTCCGGACGTTGCGAACACACGTACCACACACGCCCCACGCGTGTTTCACCGACACAAGTTCGAGGAAGCGGCTCGTATCGTCACTTCCGCCGCGCTGGAATTCGTACGATGACTGAACTCGCCGCTACTCGCCTCGCGTAATCGCTCCCACGTAACGAACCGACCTTTCGGGGCAAATTCGTATTGATACGCACCCACGTGCCCCTAAACGTCAACAGAATACTTTTTCTATTTCGGTTTTTGACGGGGTGCGGTCGCGATATATGGCACACTACGCATGACACGTTAGATGGATCGCATGAGAGAATGATGAAGAATTTTAACAAATTGGAATTTTGGAAGATTTTTGTGCTGGGAAAGAATAAATTTTCTTATTTTTCTTTTTCGATTTTTGACAGGGTGCGGTCGCGATATATGGCACACTACGCATGACACGTTAGATGGATCGCATGAGAGAATGATCAGGGATTTGAAGAAGTTGGAATTTCGGAAGATGGAAATTTTTGTGCTTGGAAAGATTTAAACTTCTCTTACTTTCTCTATTTGGCTTTTTTAATGGGGTGCGGTCGCGATATATGGCACACTACGCATGACACGTTAGATGGATCTCATGGAAGAATAATCAGAGATTTGAAGAAATAGGAATTTTGGAAGATGGAAATTTTTCTGCTTGGAAAGATTTAAACTTCCCTTATTTTCTCTATTTGGCTTTTTTAATGCGGTCGCGATATATGGCACACTACGTATGACGCGTCAGATGGATCTCATGAAAGAATGATTAGGAATTTGAAGAAGTTGGAATTTTGGAAGATGGAAGTTTTTATGTTTGGTATGAGTAAACTTCTCTTACCTTTTCTATTTATTTTTTTTAACGGGGTGCAGTCGCAATATATGGCACACTACGTATGACACGTCAGATGGATCTGATGGAAGAATGATTAGGGGTTTGAAGAAGTTGGTATTTTGGAAGATGGAAGTTTTTGTGATTGGAAAGAGTAAACTTCTCTTATTCTTTCTATTTCTTTTTTTTGACGGGGTGCAATCGCAATATATGGCACACTACGTATGACACGTTAGATGGATCTCATGGAAGAATGATTAGCGGTTTGAAGAAATTGGAATTTTGGAAGATGGAAGTTTTTATGTTTGGAATGAGTAAACTTCTCTTATTTTTTCTATTTCGTTTTTTTAACGGGGTGCAGTCGCGATATATGGCACACTACTTATGACATGTTAGACGAATCGTATAAGAGAACCAACGAAGGTTTGAACAGATTGGAATTTTGAAGATGGAAGTTTTTCTGCTTGGAAAGAGTGAATTTCTCTTATTATTTCTATTTCGGTTTTTTAATGAGATGTGGTCGCGATATATGGCACACTACGTATGTCACATTAAATGAATCATATGAGAAAATGATCAGGAGTTTGAACAAATTAGAAATTTTGAAGATTGAAGTTTTTATGCTTGAAAAGAATAAACCTCACTTATTTTTTCTATTTCGTTTCTTAAACTTAATGTGGTCGCAATATATGGCACACTACATATGCCACGTTAGACGAATCCTATGAGAGAATAACCGAGAGTATGAACAGATTGGAATTTCGGAAGATGGAAGTTTTTATGCTTGCAAAGGGGGTAAATCCGTATTGATACGCACCCACGTCACTCTGCGACAACAGAATACACTTCTTTTATACTTTTTTACTTGTTTCTTTTTTACGAGGTGCGATAGATGGTACTTTCAAGCAGATTGCATGGGGATAACCACCATTTTGGACAGATTGGAATTTTGGAGAATGGAAGTTTTTGTAAATTCGTGTCCATACGCACCCACGTGCCACTCAATAAACTTGTTTATTCAAGAATAAACTTGTTTAACTTTTTTTGACGAGGTGTAATCGCGTTGTGCGGTACACTTTTTAGCAGATTGCACAAATACGGTTTCATATGGTTTCAGATGTTGGGGGATGGAAGTTTTTGTAGTTGCAAAGAGAATACATAGGAAATTGGAGATTTTGATAAAGGTGGACTGATGAAATTATAAATTTTAAAATATTAAAATGTGTAATTTAGATATTTTAAAAAATGAGGGTTTAAAAATGAAAAATATATAAACTTGAGAATTTTGCAATGATAAATTATCAAGTTTATGATTCTTTAAGTGAAAAAAATTCAATTTCTGAATGTAGAAGTGTGAAATTTTTAATCATGAAATTAACAAATATTTAATGTAAGAGTTTGCAAATGGAAAATGTATCGAAGATTTTGAAATGAGAAATTTTTGAGATACAAAAACTTAGAAGTGACAAAATTTTGAAATTTGCAAATGTCAAACTTTCAACTTCTCCAATATCAAAATCTGAAATATAAAATTTCCAAATTCCATAAATATTCGAAAGTTTATTTCCAAATTCTTCAGTAAAACTTGAAATATAAAATTTGTGTCCAGAAATTGAATAAACTTCTACCTATCACTTTTCCAATATGACGACCCAATCCAGTGCCATATACCGAGACAGCCTCGTACCCGCACCAAATCCACACTCGATTCTCACCAAATATTCACCGAAAGTATCACCAGACGATTAAACTCTCGAACCGAATATAACTGCAACTACAACGCCTCGACATTCAACACGTCAACGCGTTCGCGCCCAACTGTGTAAATTTCCTCGCGCCAGCCAGCTTCCCGTCCGCTGCACCTGTTACCCCGTATCGAAGCACGCTCTCTATATCACCGCAACGAAAAAGGCCAATCGTAACGCGTCCGATTTCACGCGGGCCATTTCGCGTGTCGTTAATCGTAAAGGATGTTCAACGACCGATCGAACCGATCGTTCCAATACGTGGCACTAATTGTTAACACCGCTCGTTCAACGACGTAGAGACTGGTTCTCGTGTGCTGCGTTAGGTGAACGACCGTTATTTGTTGCTGTCCACTTCGCTGAATTATTATATCGTCTACAGCATCGTTTCAAAATCTGCGATGTTGCACCGCCGAAGGAAACAGCTGATACCGCAAACTTCCCGCTCGGACGGTTTCAAGGTTTCACTGCTTCATCGTTCGATCTTCCCTCCGCGATTAATCGAGCGATCGTTTAATTTCGCGAATCCGTTGCGACAGATTCCGTACACTCGCCGTTCACGTACGGGCACACATGACGTGCATGTCGTGATGCACGACTTGTTTACGTTTTCACTGATGTTTCGTCAGACTTCGATTCGAAAAACGATCGCCTTACGAAATCGGACGTATCGGTTGCCTCTTTTTGCACGCGCGGTTCACTTCACCGTGATCGGCGATATATCGAGGTGGAAAGAACTGATAAAAAAAGAGGTTTTCTACGGCGCTAATCGCGCGGCTGACGCTTCCTACACGAGAGTTGAAACGCGACTGCCGAGCCGAGTCGAGTCAACTCGCGGGCTCGGACAAATCGGAGAGGGAGAGAGAACTACGATTGCGCCGAAATGCGGGAGAGAAAGAGAGAGAAGGAGAGAGACGGGGGAGGGAGAGTGAAAGGGAGGGGAGGGGGAAGAGCGAGTGGGGAAGGAGAGAGAATTTCACAGTTAGCGAGAAGAAAGGGAGACAGATTTTAGGGAAGCTAAAACTTCGCAGAAGGATGATTTAGAAACTTCAGATTCTCGAATCTTAAAATTTCCTAGTATTTCTTTCTGGTAATGCAATTCTGGAAATTTTTGCAGTGGACAGTTTTCAAATTTTTTGATTAACAATTTCTTGGCACGCGATATTTTTCTGACTATTTAAGTTTCTTTGGTTTTCGCTAAGGACTTTCCCTAGATTTCTTAGAAATGCTCTAGAATCTGCTTTATCATTTTCTTGGAATTCCTCAGTTTCCAGACATTGCCTAGACATTTTAGAATCTCAGAATCATACTGTTCTTAGAATTTTTCTAGACCTTCCATAGAACCTTAAAATTTCACTAGAATTTTCTTATAAATCTTGCAGTATTTCCTCAGATTTCCATGGAAATTTTATACAATTTCCTAGGGAAATGAATTCCTTGTAGTTCTATTGGGATTTCGGTGATAAATTCCCTAGAATTTCGGGGAACTTTTCGGCGATTCGCGTGGGAGTTCCCCAGATCTCATTGGGAAACTCATTACATTATTAATGATATTTCACTGGAATTCCCCTTGATATTTCACTTGGAAATTCTTTAATATTTCCTCAGAATAAATTTGAATAAGTAAAATTCTGAGAATTACCGCAGAATCTTTCTAGATTTTCCCTAGAATTTCCTCAGGATTTTCTTAGAATTTTTCTAGGATTTCCTTTAGAGTTTCTTTAAAATTCCTTTAAACTTTCCTTATCGTATAATTTTCCTAGATTTTCTTAGATTTCCTAGAATTTTCTTGGAAACTCTCTAGAATTTCCCTAGGGTCGGTTTCCTTTATCACTATGAAATTTCCTAGTATTCCCCTAGACTCTGTAGAACTCATATAGTTTCTTTAATTTCTACTCATACAATTTCTGTAAGGTACTTACAGTTTCCCTAGGTTACAACAGAAATCCCTAGACTTCCCTAGACACCCAAAAATTATACCAAAATTATCAATTTCCCTATAATTTCTCCAAATTCCTCCAGACTCTCTCTAAAGTGTCCCAAATAATTCCCCTATCAACAGCAGAAATATAATGCTCCAACGCTGCCTCCACCAGCGGCAATATATCGAGAGTCTACTGTCTCTCATTGTTTCTTATCGTTGCAGGTGCGTACATGATTGCAATTTTCATCAGATTAATTCCGACAATTAAACGGATGTACCGATAAATAACATTACGTAAACCCTTGAATAAAAGCAAAACATAAATCTTCGATCGATAAAGTGAAGTGCAGTCAAGTAATTTCCCGTAAACATTAAGTGTTCTCTTTATTTCGTGAAATCAGACATTTTTGATAGCATCGTTTGACGACTGAAAAATTATCAGTTACGAATAAACGACGTTGTAACGACGGTAACACTCAGCGATGAAATTTGTATTATCTCGAATACGTAACAATTTCTATCAAACGCCAGCAAAAAAAGATATAGGATGAGTTGATATTCGTATATTATCTCGTATGCGGTCAACTGATTAGTGCTGGACATTGAAAGTGTTCTGTAACTTCGGAAAGAGGATTTGCCTTAGATTGTATGGAGAAATGATTCATAGTGAGTTAATGAATCATTAACTCGTTGTTTTATGCAATATATCGAGATGAATACAAAAGAATGAAGTATAAGATATTTGATTTCGAGGTATTATCGTTTTTAAAGGAGAGAAAATCTATATTAGATCTTCACATTTTATGCAAGGTTTCTACGTTCATAGATCTTCACATCCCATGCAAGCTTTCTACGTTTCTAGATCTTCACATCCCTAGATTTCAGGGTCGATAGATTCGTATGTTTCTAGGTGACTATATCCTTGAATTTCTATACTCTCAATTTCTGTGTTCTCAGATTCCCATATTGCCTAATCCTTACATCTCCAAATCTCAACATCTCTAAATCCCTAAATCCCATACCTCTGCATCCCCAAATTCCAGTTCCCCAAATTCCTATGTCCCAAATTCCTATATCCCAAATTCCAATACTCCAAATTTCCAAATCCTCTAAATTCTCAACTCCCCAAATTCTCAAACCCCCTGAATTCCCAACTCCCCAAATACCCAAATCCTTCAATTTCCCAACTCCCCAAATTCTCATCTCCTCAAATTTCCATCTCCTCAATTCCCCAAATCTCCAATCCCCATATCCCCAAATCCCCAACTTCCCAAATACCCAAATCCTCCAACTTCCCAATTCCCCAAATTCCCATCTCCTCAATTCCCCAAATCTCCAATCCCCATATCCCCAAACCCCCAACTCCCCAAATACCCAAATCCTCCAATTTCCCAACTCCCCAAATTCCCATCTCCTCAATTCCCCAAATCTCCAATCCCCATATCCCCAAATCCCCATATCCCCGTATCCCCAAATCCCCGTATCCCCAAATCCCCGTATCCCCAAATCCCCGTATCCCCAAATCCCCGTATCCCCAAATCCCCGTATCCCCAAATCCCCGTATCCCCAAATCCCCGTATCCCCAAATCCCCGTATCCCCAAATCCCCGTATCCCCAAATCCCCGTATCCCCAAATCCCCGTATCCCCAAATCCCCGTATCCCCAAATCCCCGTATCCCCAAATCCCCGTATCCCCAAATCCCCGTATCCCCAAATCCCCGTATCCCCAAATCCCCGTATCCCCAAATCCCCGTATCCCCAAATCCCCGTATCCCCAAATCCCCGTATCCCCAAATCCCCGTATCCCCAAATCCCCGTATCCCCAAATCCCCGTATCCCCAAATCCCCGTATCCCCAAATCCCCGTATCCCCAAATCCCCAACTCCCAAAATCCTCAACTCCAAAAATCCCCAAATTCCCAAATTCCCAAATTCCCAAATTCCCAACCTCCCAAACTCCCAAATTCCCAAATCTCTCTATCCCCAAATTCCAGTACCCCAAATTCTTTTGTCCCTAATCTCAACACCCCAAATCTCTCTATCCCCAAATCCCAATATCCCAAACCTTGCACCCCCAAATCCCACCACCCCAAACCTCACACCCCCAAATCCCCACATCTTCAAATCTCCACATCCTCAAACTCCAACACCCCCAGAATCCACATATCACCAAATCCCTTTCCTCCCACAATGTCCCTAACGAACTTTAATTAATCCAGCAATTCAACAGATCGATCGAATGGTATAGATTGAAAGGAACGATTAAAGCAGCTGACAAGTATTTAACGTTGATACCAAGCAGGGAAAAACCCGTCTGAACGAAGCGCTTTGACGCCGAGGAAATTGACTGATTACAACGTTTAGCGGGACTTCAAACGCCGAATAAAAAAGAAAGGGGAAAAAAGAGGAAAACAGTAACGAAAGCTCGACCATCTGGAAATTCAGTCGTCGAGAAAATGGCAAAGTGCATTGGCGTCACTGTAGCAAAAGAGAATGATGGCTTCGAAGACGGAAGGCAAGATAAAAAATTCTTATCTATTCTGTTCGCCGACGTGTGTGTGTGTGCTTACATCGGCTTTCGTGTGATAACCACGCGCCCGTTCATCTATTTACATAAGTATACGAGTATATAACAGACGGAAGAGTCTGGTAGTGGATACGTGAGAAATGTGCATTAGTAAATTATACCGGAATACCTGGAAAAATTGCCCGCACGATTTCCGCGGATCATGATGTGTGTGACAGTGTTTCTCAAATTTTTCGCACTGATGCTAAATGGAGTAAAGTGGAATAGTTTGCATTTGTTATTAGAGTAAGGAGAGGGGGTCTATGTAAAATACTGGAGATAATTTGGAGGATCAAAGTCAGAACTTAGGATTATCTAATTTGTAATCAAGTAGAAAGCTGTAACGAATAAAGTAGTATTCTAAATTTTTTAATGTAGATTCTGAAATTTTTTATTTTCGAAGGAGATCAGTGGATTCTTTGTTCAAATAGAGTGAGTATATTTGCGCCACTATTACTAATTCAGAACACCGCAGTACCTAGACACCTGTTAAGCTCGCCCAATTCGTAGCACTGCAAATAGCAGCCCCAAATAATTAATCAATGAAATTTGTGGACGAACCGTAATTCTGACCTTTCCGACTTCACATACAGAGGAGTAAAATGTCAATTTGCAGGAGTCTCCGCAATTATTCAATCGTTGTATCCCCAAATCCCCAAATCCCCAAATCCCCAAATCCCCAAATCCCCAAATCCCCAAATCCCCAAATCCCCAAATCCCCAAATCCCCAAATCCCCAAATCCCCAAATCCCCAAATCCCCAAATCCCCAAATCCCCAAATCCCCAAATCCCCAAATCCCCAAATCCCCAAATCCCCAAATCCCCAAATCCCCAAATCCCCAAATCCCCAAATCCCCAAATCCCCAAATCCCCAAATCCCCAAATCCCCAAATCCCCAAATCCCCAAATCCCCAAATCCCCAAATCCCCAAATCCCCAAATCCCCAAATCCCCAAATCCCCAAATCCCCAAATCCCCAAATCCCCAAATCCCCAAATCCCCAAATCCCCAAATCTCCAAATCTCTAAATATCTAAATTTCCAAATGACCAAAACTCCTACTCTCCAAATCCCTAAATTATCAAATCCCATTTAATCAATGACTCCAATTAATCACTGAAATTTGTGAACCAACCGTAAATTTGACATTTTCGACTTCACCTACAGGGAGTAAAATGTCAATTTACAGGAGTCTCCACAATTATCCAATCGTTGCGATCGCAATTAAAACACGTCAACGCTTTAGAGTGAATCACTGAATCTACTCATCCGCATATTAATTCTACAGTTTCGTGACAATTTTGCAACCGCG